TTATATATGTCTGGTTGTGTATCGTGCACTTTGGGTTCTTTTCTGTTGAATTGTTTTTAATTATTTTTGGTATTTTGCATCTGTTATATTCTTACTGTTGTTAATGTTTTTCTGTGTTTAGTTTGCTTTGTTCTTGCTGTTTGTCAAAGCACTTTGTAAACCTGTGTTTTTAAAAGGTGCTATATAAATAAAGTTATTATTATTATTATTATTATTATTATTTGCACCCCTGCACACACTAAAGCTGCACACTGAAAACACAATAAAGTGACTAGTTTTACATTTCTTACTAGGACACTATCAGTTTTTAAAGGTATAATACATAGATTTTCTGGGGAGTTTCATGTCCATGATACATTTTTCTACAACTGTCCTGCACTTTGACATCTTAAATATATGATATTATTATTCAGAAAATACTCCAGCTGGTGCTGCTGCCTGGTTCCAGTTTTCTTTGTTATTCATTCCATTGCTCAGTGTTATCGCTCAAAAACGGCACTAATTTCATTTTAGCAGCTTTTTTTTTTATTCTGCTGGGTTTTTTTTCACTTTATTGTTAAACACTTTGAATTACCCTCCTTTTATAGTAAATTATACACAAGTCCAATTATCATTATTTTTTTCATCTTCTTGCATCAAAGGCTGTATTATGCGATGTCGGGGCTTTTTTGTCAGGAATATTGTGAGGAAAATGTGTCACAGTGGGGTGCCAAAAACAGGTTTTCACCCACCAACAATTTTCACACCAGGGAGTAACTACACATTTTAATGGATTGTCCTCCTGTGGCTTCTTTTGACAATAGCATAATGGCTTTTCTAAAATATGTCTCACTCAGGACTATGACTGATGAAGAGAGCAGAATGACTGTCCCAACATTTTACCCCATAAGAACAAAACAAATGTGTGTTTGTAACCTTATGTGAATCATTCCTATACAGGTTATATACATTTTCTTGGTGAAGGTATAACCTTTAACTGGTTTCATTTTGATCTATGCAGGGCGGACAGCGGGTGTTGTTAGACATAACAAATGTCTACTGTCATGTGTGTCTTATAAGCTGCGACTGGATGCTTTGAATATTCCTCGGGATCATTAAAGTATATCTATCTATCCATAATCACATGTAGTTTACTCAGAATTACATTTCAGAATGTTTCCGAGTTATAGATTTCTTCCTTTTGATAAAAAAAAAAAAGTTGGTAGTGTGTTAACTGTAAAGCACGACTGATATGTGATTTTTGGGGCCGATATCAACAATAATTGTCATAATAATAACAATATTGATGTTTGGGAGAGGAAAAAATCCTATACCGATATATCGGCCAATATTTTACTTAGATCTATGTTTTATCTGTAGATATAGATATCTATATACGCTTTTATTGTGTTGATCCCTCAAATGCAGTTATCAAACACTTGTGGAAAAGAATATACAGCATAATGATGAGAAGATGGTCACTCAGCTGGAAAGTAACTGCTCATGACTTGCATCACGTGATAATACTTTGCTGGTTAAAGAGAACTGCTAGTTTAAAACAATTAATCTCAAATGAAATGCTATTTGATTAGTGAATACATCTAGTATTATCAGCACATATCTGTGATAAAATTAGCCGATACCAATAGTCACTGGATATGCTCAAACCACCCGATATTATCGCCTGGCCGATTAATCGGTCGGGCCCTTCTGCACTCTGAGCATGCAATATCTACCAATATTAAACATTAGGTTACTTCCAATGCCCTTTTATCAAATAGCAGGAAAAAAAATAGAAAGTGATGACTTCTGTAATGTAAGTGTGACAGCTATAAAAACAACACTGTGCCCCGGTTAAAGAAATGCCTGCTTTAATAAAATGATCTAAAAACCAACCATTCAGTGAGCAAGGACACCATGATTGTCTCCTTGAACATCAATGAGTGTCACATTTTAGCTATCAAAAACTATCCAAAGCCACAGTCAAAGTACTATATCACTGTAAGCTGGTTTTGTGCTCAATTTCATTACTCCTGCTGACGTTTAAATGCTCAATCAGCTGATTGAACATGTTTCATTATTACTTCAGCTCTTCTTCCACTTGAAAAGTTTTGAGTCACTTTCATTGATTGTAATGCGTTCTTGGGAACACTGAATAGCATCAGTTGCACATCTTCACCTTCCCCCATTTCCACTTATTTGCTGCGTGAAGTATTCTAAATTTGCCCTGGTAAAAGTAGAACTAGGAGCACCATACACAATTTTTCATTTGCAAACGTTTACGACACACACTATTGTTTAATAAAAGAAAGTCTTAAAATGTATTGTCCAAAATGGTTTCAATTATCTTAAGACACACTTAATCTTCCCATACTTCCAGTAATACCAGCAAGGAAATGGCAACACAGTGATTGCAACATAACTTCTTAATAAGTCAGCCTGAAAGTCACCGACCTACAAGGCTTGGGTGGATGTTTCACCCCTGAGTCACCCCGTCTTCTAGAAAGAGAGCGGCCCAGCCCTGTTAGACCTGCCCCATTATCAAGTCTGGCTATCACAGCTAATGCCCAGACACTGCCTTCACACTGTGTAAACTTGTGCCTTAAAATAGCCACTGGATTAACAGCAATCAGGGGACAGATGCCACAGAGCTGACTTTGCCTCAGGGATGACTCTCAAGCCAAACATTACCCGAACCAATTATGCCTCCAGGGCTTTATCTAGCCCAACAAGGTGAGGCTATACAGGTAAACACACAGTACAAAAAAAAACTTTTTTAACAATGCATTCAATAACTCGTATTCCACACTGACAAAAAGGGCTTCTGTGTAGGTATTTAGTTTACAAAACATGATACAACTCTACGTGATGAACAGGAAGGACTACAGAGAGCCTCTGATTAATAACGGGGTGCAGTTTTTCCTCTAACTCATCAAAGTAGGGCAAAACTAATTAGGCTGTTGCACCGGCATGTAGGATTGAAGAGGGACACTGGATGAGGCCCAGGGGGAGACTCTGAAATTAGGTCACAACCCTCCATTTTACATATCCAGGTTCCCTGCATGGGAATGTGAGTGTTTGCAAATGTGTGGCTTTATTGCGACGGTACAGTGTAGTTGCACATGAAGTGTATCAGTCATTGAGTTTATGTAACATGGGGACTTTTCAACAGCCTGTACACTAGAGCAACTTGGTTTGTTTTGATAGCATTCCACATCTTATCTGACTTCCAGCTAAAGAAGCTGATTTCAATCACTATATTGATTTATTGGCTCTGCATTGTCCTAATGAATCAATTTAAATCAGTGTCCCTTCAGTGAAGTCATTACTCATGGCACTCAGGTAGACACATGGGTCACTAGATATTCATTGGTGAAGCTTCCTTTCATCGCAAATGACATCATCTGATTTCATCCCTATGGTAGCAAGGAGTGCCAGAGCGTAAACAGTGAAGCATCACACTGCAGGTACAACCCACTTCAGCACACCTAACACGCTTTCGAAGCTGACAGTATCCAGACCAAATAGTATCCTGACCTTTTACAATCCAACAACATTCTTATTCATACAGGTCAAATAGTTGCTAGAAATAGACTACGAGGCTACTTGACAACGTTGCCTCCGATTCTTCTGATTCTAAAAACAACCTGCGCAGGTGATTTAGATCTGGAAGAAGTTTTGAATAGCAGTAAGTGTTTGCCTCGTGCTCTTCATAAATCCCACAATGTAACGTTACATCTTTCCCTCAGAATCCAAGATCCAAACAAAAACAAAAGCATCGGATTAATGTGCAATACTAATCCAAGACTCAAACTCCTTCAATCATCTTAAAAGCAACAATGTTGGCATTGAGCTTAAGCTTGCCTTCTCTTTGTTTCAACTTCCAAACGCTAAAGAAATCTGTCCGAAGTCGGAACCGTGTTCCTGAATGCACCGTCTGGCAGCTCCAGAGTCTTCTGCACACATTTGTTCTTCAAAAACATGACGTTCACCGTTACCGGACTTTATGTAAGTAATCGCATTATGGCTTTCCCTGACAGTAGTTAGGCTATGACCCCCCGAAAGCGAACCAGAGGACAAACTCACCCAAAGGTCTGTGCCCCAGTCCATGTTCAGCCTGTTGGCCAAGCTGTGTGACTCCCCCGAATACAAAGAACTTCTCCAAAGTTATCCCAGCAGCAGCTCGGAGGAGGAGGACGGCCCTGCGACCTACAATAATCCCGACGTGATAAATCAGTCGAAATCACTTCGCACTCTGTTTTGGATTTCTTTAACGAATAACATATGCCAGCATCTTAATTCGCTAATTAACTTGGGCTATGAGCCGTTTGTCGAGTTTTTCTAAATATGTTTCATAGCGAAGGAAAGAGGGATAAACTAGCTTTCATATCCGCGTCACTCCCAAATCCTAAATCTTAAAGGGCCAGCGCACACAGCCTCGGGCGGCGCAGGCCACCGCACTGTACCCTATGACTGTACCGCTGCATGTACACACTTGATGTTTAAAATGAAAACTTTAATTCAAAGGGTGTTATAGTGTTGTTCTTTACCTTACATTGAGCAAGACACCGTGCTGAGAGTTGTTTAAACCCCGAATTGATTAATAACAAGCTGAAGATTGACCTGTTCGGTTTTTTTTACTAAAAAACATCTTACATCCTAAACTACAGGCCTATGACTGATGTTAGTTTAAGCACATCAGTCATTAAAGTCACTATTGTTCTGTTTTTTATTTCGTGTGTTTTATGTATGAAGCAGCTGTATGTTATTTCTTAACATAACATTTCAATAGAAAACAAACTCAGGAACAGACAAGACACAAAATTGGAAACCATAAATACAAACAATGTCAATTATTGTCCAGTGAGCAATGAAGGCTTCCCAAATTGAAAAAACACAACACATCAATACAGGTTACTGTGTTTATTTAAAAAGATAAAAATGTATGTTAGACTTTAGAGAATGACAAATTAAAATAAATGTTAGGATTTGCCTGATCACTGATCATTTTCACTCGATTACTCTATTTAATTACATTTTGTGTTTTAAAAAAGGTTAGAAAATACAGAATTTACAGGCCATTTTGCCATGCTGATAGAACAACATGTTTTCTTAAGATATCAGTCCCCACACTGATATCCATCAAGTCATATCCTAAGCTTCAGGCTTATCTGTCATTGGGATATCATCCGTGGTTTTGACAAAACTATATTGTCCATTTTTTTTCCGGCAATAATGGAGAATGGCCACGAAGATGCAGAGCAAGAAAACCACACAAAGAATAACAATAACCCATATAAACCATGAGGGGCCCTCACTAGTTTTACCTGTAAGATAGGGGAAAAAAACAGCATTAATTCAAAGTGCACTTCTTACTTCTTGGAGCCATAAATGTAACTTATGTGTAAAAATGAACATCTTACTTTCCATTATCACTGTGACAGATCTTGTCACAGTCCCAATGTCATTCGTGGCATTACAGATGTAAACACCATCATTGGTAGACGTGGCTCCTATGATGCTGATATTCCTGTAGCGCCCCCAAGTGGTCTCTATCACATTCACTGCAGAGGGGAACTTCCATTGCATCTTAGGGGAAGGGTTGCCCTCAGCAGTGCAGTCAAAAGTCACATTTTCACCCTGGGCCAGGGTAATCATTATAATGTCACTTTCCTTGAAAATGGGGAGATCTGAGGAAAATAGGATTTCAGAAACATTTAAAATCCCAATTCAGCAATACATAACTAACTGATATTAGTAGGGATGTTTGGCAAGTGAACAAAATATGACAATTAAAAGATAAGCAGAAACTCACAGTGCACATCAGCTATGTAAGGCAATGAGGTCATAGTCGGGACTGGCCGAGGACCATACGGTCCAAGATGAAGCTCAGCAATGCATTTAAAATATGATTTGTCAAAACCTCTCCTAGGTGTGATTCTCAGGGTAGAAGACACATTGAGTGGGGTCACAATGGTGGTATTAATTGTTTGCTTGTCCACAGTATGTCGCCTCTGTACCACTGTATTGTGAGGTTCCCAACAGGAGCCGCATTGGAGATGTTACATATCAGGGAAAAGTCTTTGCCCTCTACCATCGGTCCAGGATTCATTGCAGAGATTGACACCATGTCGGGAGTTTCTGTAAATAAATAAAAAAGAAAATAATGTAGACATGGTACAAGATATATGCACAGACATTTGCATTATGTAGGTGAAGACAGAAGATAACTCTGTGGTACTCACTGTAAAGAGTGACCTCTGGCATCACATGGCACTGCTCATGTTCTGTAGTGACGAAACACTTAGGTTTTATGGTCCACTGTTCCAGTTTTTTAACCCTCCAGGTGACTGCCGGTGGTTTTACAACCCCTGTGCCTCCTACTGTTGACTCCCAGCCCATTAAATCAGCATCTGAGGCTGATGTGCTGCAGTTCACTGTAGCTGGATCTCCAAATTTCACCACGATTTTGGGAGGTGTCAATATGAGAGGGCAACCTGAAATTCAAAAGCGGGCATGTTCAATCAAAGCTTCCTTTTATTGTACACTATCAGTCCTTTACCATAGTAACACAGATGTTCACCTCGTGCTGTAGAAGCCTCTGTGTAGGCTGGTGTTGAAGCTTCAGTGGCTGGTGTTGGTGACTCAGAAATGGTTGGCGTTGATGTGTCCGGGGCAGCTGATGTTGATACCTCTGGGTAAGTCGGTGTTGGTGTTGTTGCCTCTGGGGTGGTCATGACTTCAGGGACCGGCAGCTTGGCCACTTTTATTGCCTGAACACTGATTCGCTTAGTTATGCTTCCAAGACGATTGGAGGCTGTGCAGTTGTAGATTGAATTGTTTTCTACTCGAGTAAGGTTCAAATGATCTGTCGTCTCCGACAAATTCAGCCCATCACGAGTCCAACTGAAGACAGGAGGGGGGTTCCCCTCAGCTTCACAGAGCAGGCTGACATTAACACCCTCTTTCAATATGTAATAATCACTTACTGTGTTTCTCTTGAATGCAGGGGAATCTGGGGGGAGGGGCAAATGTATGCTTATTATGTATTTAAATATGAACATAATAAATGACTGTTCATCTTGAAACAAGAGATTGTTTACTCACACAGAACAGAAACTTGATGCGTCTTAGAAATAACAGGAGTTTGTACTCCATGAGGCCCAAAGTCCAGCTGAGCCTCACATCGAAACTGAGCCCCGTGGTCCCCTCTGCTGATGTTGACCATCAGGATAGAAGACTCTTCCACCGGTCTTTTGGTTGTGTTGCTGAAGGTGTTTGTCTTGATGATTTGTTTGCCTTTGTACCACCTCACAGTGAGTTTTTGAACGGGAGCAACCTCGATGATATCACATTGTAGCTCGAACGGCGTCCCTTCCACCAAATCAATCAAATATTTTGTGGGATACAGCGACACGTCTGGGTTCTCTATCAAAAAAAGACAGAATGGAGTCAGGACGGCATGTAACAATACTTTTTATGTAATTAATATGTTGATTATTATCCTGATTAATGAATAACTGTTTGGTGAATAGAATGTCATCAAACAGTTGAAATATGACATGATCAGTTTTCTCCAAAGTCCTGTTTGTGAACAGCACAAAGATACTTTGCAGACTGTCATAGATGGATAAAGACATCAGAAATAGAATAAGGCATTCACAGTTTTCCTTAAAAAGTGCTTCAGCAGATGAATGCATTCTCCAAACAGTTTGAGATCATTTCAATAGTAGACTACTAGATTGATCAAGGCAGCAGTCGATGTTGTAACTTTATCATCCTTCTCTTTTGCATGATATTCATTTGAAATAACACTTACTGTACATGATGATTTCCAGCTCTTTGCTGCATTCATAAGTTTCATTCAGCTTTATTTTGCACTCAGCTGCTGTATTCCAGTCTGAGAGTTGCAGAGACTCAGCGATGAAACTATTCTCCTCTTCCAATTCAGAGTCTGTGTTTCTGGTTCTCCAGTACATCCCATAATGATTGTCATTCACACTGCTGCAGTTTACACCCACTGTCTCTCCGAGTTCTCCTACAACCACAGGAGGATCCAGGGTGAGGGGGTTGGACTCAGGGGGGCAGCTACTGTCTGCAGAGACAAAAGAACATGTCTTGATTAGCAGTAAAAAAAAAAAAGAAAACGGGTCCCTACTTCCCTCTGGTGGCTTGGATCACTAATTTAAGCCACTTATTGTTGGAACTGTTCACTCTGAATCCTCAACAACTGCTTCAGTGAGGGAAAATATTAAACATCATTTTTCAATTTTAAAAAAGCTGTTCCATAAAGTCACTATAAAGCTCTGTATTTTAATAAAATTGCATAGTTTCTAGAAATAGTCATCTAGGTTCTGATTTCAAATTATATGTACAGGTTTGAAATGTATCATTTTAATGGACAGTTACTTCTGTGAACCATCTCTGCTGTTCCAAAGCCAAGCTAAGCTGCTTATTTGTTCTGATCATTTATCATTTATCCTAAAATCATGGACTCCACCCAATCCCACCCACTGACTCTCTGCACACACACAAACACATGTCGAGGCAGTTAGTGCGGTTTACACATCTTTCATCGAAGAGGAAGTTGTTGGTTTTTTTAAATACTGACATTATAACACCTATCACACCCATTTCATATCTCAAAGTTGAACCTTTACATAAAGAATGTTCTTGATTTTATCTGTTTCACCTAATTCTCTCACCTAAAAATAGAATTCATACATGAAACTGACTCCACTGGTCGTGTCATCCTATCCTTATCATTTTATAACAGAACCTCACTTACAGGAAATTCATTCTTGTATAAAGAATGATTATCTAGAATACGTTTTGCTTAGCACCACTTCTAATACGTTGAGCTACGTTGAAAGCGAAAAAGAAAACTACCCCAGGTTTATTCCTAGGCACAGCACCAAATAATGTGTAACTTTAAAGTCCTACACAGAACTATTGTAAAGCATCACTCACCACACAGTAAAATCATGAGCATGAGAGGGCCGAGCGTCCTCAGAGGCTGCATGCTGGATCAGCACGCGAGAGGAAGCAGGTAGATTGAGGAAGTAAGGTCTGTTTCAGGACCGTCCAGCAGATGTCCAGCTTAAGTAGCGGGATAGGATTAATCCGGGTTCAGACCTGATGATGTTAATTACCTGCTGCTGACAGTTAAACAAGCTCAGAGAGAGTAAAAGAAATACACACAGAAGCAAAGTCAACGCCCTGGTGAACAGGAAACTGTAAGAGGATATATGACATCACAACAGTTGCCTCACTGAGAAATCATATATGAAACCCTCCTCTCAAGTGTTTGAAAAATCTGTCATAAAGGAGCTTAGCCTATACTTGGCATAATTTATTGAAAATGATATATCGAAAGTGAAATGAGAAACATCACAGAAAATGGCAACAGAAGACAAATATCTCTACACAGTACATGTTTGACTGTTTCCAGTGACATTTTATATACACAAATCTCCAAAGAATGTGTGAAGACTTAATAAGCAGACATCCTTGGCTGTTCAATTTGCAGCCTGTGAACAGAAGAGGCCCTCTGACAACCTACATCTGACCCTCTAACCATCAAAAATGTGTAATTATGAATTTATATACCATAAACTTCAATAAATAGCTTTTATTGACTTCAGTCTATGTTATAACCCCACCTTAATTTGGGGCATGCGTCAATAAGCCTTTCATTCTTTTTTAAACAAAACCTGTGCACAGCAAAGATGGGAAAGATTTAAATGTGTATACCAGAAATAATATTTAACTCTCTACAAAATGAGGATATTAAGAGAGGAAGAGGATGTGAGTGCTGTGCTGGTCTGTGGAGCTGTAAGCATATCAGGGTGTTTTTAGTTGTTTCATCATCATGCAGGAGACTCTGATGTGCAATGTGTTCTACTCTGTCTTTTTTTTTTTACAGATGTTGAAATCCATCTTGAAATTTTGTGTCTTACCAAGTTTTGCAACACTAAATGCATACATGCATTCGTGCCTATGATTGTTAAACTGTGCATCAAAACAGGCTATTAATCGTTCCTTTAATTGGGAAGAGCTTTTACTTGAAGTTGTACTGTATATAACAAACTATCTTCCTTGATCCATTATATGTCATGCTGTTGGAGCAGCAGCAGAGCTATCTTCAGAGTGCATCCATCATCATCACACCTCTGGCTGATGTCACAGCACTTTTCAACATAAGCGTTACATTGCACAGACTGAAAGAAGGACAGGATGTCATCGTTCGTGAGTCTGGTCTGTTGTCCAAACATTTTCTTCTAAGGTTAAAAAGTGAAATTGTTCAAACCCATTAATTGTTTGCTTTGTACTGTAGGTCAGACATAGGACTGTCTGCCGCTTGGCGCTGCTTTACAGGGTCTTCAGTGAAATATACTCTTTGAGGAAAAGTCTGCTTCAGTTCATTACAGTGTGTTTTTTTTCTTACATGTCCATAATAAATAAATGTTATGTGGGCTTGATCATCAAGGAAACGCGTTTCAGAGAGTAGGACCCTCCATGAAACTCTGCCCAGTAGACCCCGTCCTGGTAGCGGCTGCGATAGTGTCCACCCCGATACCACACACCGTTCAGGTTGGAGTGGGCGCACATGTGGTACCACCAGCCTCCCTTTTGGAAATGAGCACAGTTACCTGGTGACAAAGCAGGTGAACAGGGTTATTTAAGGAAACAGTCCAAATGCAGACAGAGCACTAACAGACAGATCCAGGAAGTGAGTAGACCTGTATAGCTGTCCTTGTCTCGGTCCAGAGTGGTGAAGGCCTTGTTGTTGTGCCAAGAGAGGGAGTCCCCTGCAGTGCCTTGGTATTGTCCTAACCGCAGTCGGTACCAGTCACTCTCCGGTTCCAGGTGGAAGCTGTCATACTCGGCAAACACCTGTCGGCCCTGCCAGTCCTCCAGAGCCACCCGTAGCTTATACTGGGCCTGCTTAGTCATCCAGTAGAGGTGTTCCAGACCAAGCCAGTACTCCCCATCTAGGTTCCCAAAGCCTTGCTGTAAAAACACAAACACAACACTTTAAGCTCAGGATATGTTCATCCAGGTCTGGTAGGTCTGTTGCTTTGTCCACGTCTTTGATCCAGACCGAATTATTAGAAAATGTAGTCTTTTTTTTCAGGCATTCAGACTTTTGTTGACCCAGACTTTACTTTAAGTGTGACAGGTCTTTTATCTTACTGAACAATTCAACATCTATTTGACAGATTGACTTGACAATACCTCCGATTCTTGTTCAGGCTTGAAAATAAATGTTTTAACAACTTTTCCAAGATTGTGTCCAACACTCATGTCTCCCCCTGGAATACTTGTTGTAAAATCGGTGATCCTCTGACTTTGTCTAGCACCATCTAATGAAGAATACGGCTTGGCTGTAGACTCTCTTCCATAAAATGAACATTGAACAGAGGGGTGTTTTGAAAGCTTGCAGGTGTGTGGAATCACCTTATACTGCTCCCAAGTCCTGAAGAAGTTGACAGACCCATCCTGTCTCCTTTGGATGACTGTCCAGCCTCCCTGAGCCTGACTCTGCTCACACCACGCCTGCAGAAGGCGGTTGGCGCTCTGTGGGCGGAGCAGGTAGATCCCACTGGTGGTCTCACCTGATTCCAAAACATGCTGACAGTCTCGCCACGGGCCTGAGAAAATATAAAAAAACATACAAAGGTGAGGAAGGGGCATAATACCAATACTTGATAGAGCACTTTTTCCAACCCTTGCATGGCCCTGTAAGAGCACTGGGCAGCTCCTTTGGTGAAAGTCTACTTCATCTGTGGGGTTAGAGGACTACAACCTCCATACATGGGGCTCAACATAACTGCAAGGCCATCGGCGCCCCTGAATCTGTTTCATTGACAGAGTTACTGCCCTTTGTGATGTCACAAAGGGAAACTCTCCAAACAGCCTGTTTGTGCACACATTTTCTGAAAAGTGGAGCAGGGAAAAGACGGAGAGGATGGACTTTACTCATAATAGGATATTTAGACAAGTTAGAAATACATATTAGTGCTAGAAAAAACATGGTAAAGTGTATTTTGCATAATATGTGACCTTTAATTTATCTATTTAGATGTGAAGAATTTTTTCCTCAACACATGTTGAATATCTCATGCCACAGTGATAAGACGAACAAATGAATCTGCACTAAGACTGACAAGCATTTGTGCTACATACTCGGTCATTTTCACACCACAAGATGTGGTAATGCGCAGTCTTTCAAAAGCCCCTTTAGGAAGTGACATACACAAGGTGGAGTCACTGTGGTTCTGCTGACTTGTTAGAAGGACAGCTTAAATCCTCTGCTTTATAATTTAAACATTCCAACTGTGCTAGTTTATAGCAGCAGGGTCATTTAAAGCCCTGTGTTCCCCGCACTGATAAGAGCTGTGAGCTGTTTCTGACATTGTTTAGGAGTTCCCAGAGAGATAGAACTCCCACCAGCGGGTCAGTGACTCCTTCAGTTCCTCTTTATCGTAGTAGCTAAATACCTCTGACAGAAGATGGATGCATTTATACACACGGGTTCAAGTCTGATCAAGCACCTCTGCTGTGTTACAGTGTTGTACCTGGAGTCTTTGTGACAGGAAAGCTAATGAATGGAGAGTCTGTAGGAGTGTTGGCTGTTGTGCTGGGGATGAAATCAGCAGTTTTTTCCTTTTGTGTTGGTGGAGCACTTTGGTCCCTTTGAACATCGTTGGTCATTTCGTTGGCGTCAGAGCTGTAATTTGGATGCATATTGGACTGGCTTTGTGGTGGTTCAGTCGTTACCTGTCCAGACTGGCACAGAAACAACAAAGCATTATTGGCTGCTGTGTAAATTAGTAATATATTGCAACATGCAGTTTTTTTTACCTACCAAAGAGGACTGGTTGGATACCCTGCACTGGCATTGCTTCTCCAGGCGAGCAATTAACAGGTTCTGGGAGCTCATCATGGAGGTAAGCGCTCCATATTTCTTCTCAAGATCCCTGTAGTTACTGGACACCTGCAGAGCCTGACATGTTCCACCAGCCACAACAGACAGAGGAGGAGTTTGATGATGATTTGCATACACTTGGATACTGAGGCTGGAATGAAATATCAATGATTCTTTACTCACCTGTGTTGTAGCATTTAGCAGGAGGTTCTCCACCCTCCGCTGCTCCAAAACCTGGTCTTTCTTTTGCATGACTTCATGCAACAACTGGGCATAGAGCTGTGCAATACGAGAATTCATGTTGCTACTCTCTTTGCGCAGGGCTCTCACCTCCACAGCAAGGGTCCCCTCCTGCTCCAGTTGGCCCCGGAGCCGGTCCATCTGCTCCTGCTGCTGTCTGAGCTCCGCCCGCAGCGCCGCCACCTCTGAGTGGTTTGTGGTGGCAGACTGTGTGTTTAAACACAGGGCTCCTGTGAGCTTTTGCTGCGGGACAATGAAAGTGTAGGAGCAACGGCCTCCTTTTGTGTCTGACGATCGGGACGAACGTTTCTGAGTGTCCTCGCCATGAGTGCCCTCCTTCCGTCCTGCAGCTTCTGGTATGTTCAGACAGAGTGTTAAGAAAAGAGTCAGGCCTATTGTCAGTGTCTTCTCCATGAATCTCTTCAACTTCAGAGGAACCCTGGTACCAGAGGAGAGGATGAAATGAGAAAAACAACAGCAATAAAAACACAAATAAACAACACCTGAGCATCAGACTGAAATGTACCATTAAGAAAACAAATGTGATAAAGAAGACATGAAGTCTGCTTTCAGGGAAACTACGTTCTGTGGGTCACCAGATGTTTCTTTTTAAGTAAAGTACACACTTTCCCTCATGGCTGGAATTTATTAGCAGGTCAACACTTAAAGGAACAACAGTCAACATCAACCAGCCAGAATCAACACACAACCGTCTCACAGTCAACAGAAGAGCAATCTCTGAATCCAGCCACAACAACCACGGTCAACACCATAAACACATGGAGCCAAAAAGGTCAATATTTACATCTAGAATATAAAACACTGTCTCATTGAAACACAAAAACATCAAACAAATAATTTTCTTCATTTAACAATAACTGTATGTTGTTTAACTTGGCCACCACACCTTTGGATGCAGCAATCACTGCATTTCACTCTACATTCAAGTGGATTACATAAACATACCCTTCTCCGCTCAGTACTTACCGGTGCAGATGAAAAGTGTTCAGGACTTTTAGTTCAGCTCCAGCGTGTAGTTGCAGCTCTCAGGACGCAGAGATTCCAAATAAAATAAAATACATATTTTAAAAATCCCATATTCAAGGATCCCCAAAAAGTCCCAAACAATCTGCTTTTTAATTTAAAGTCACTCTTGGTCATCCATCAATGTTAAAGTCAGGTTGAAAACAGAGACATTTGGGTCGCAAATGAATATTAAGAAAATTGACACAAGGTTTAAGCCGCCTCTTCTCCTTCCTAGGGTCTGTCCCAAGATCTCTGAACAGAAGACAACTAATTACAAAACACCCGAAAGCACCGCCTCCCAGTAGTTGTTCAGCTGACTACTCAGTGTGGAAACCTAGGATGTCTCCTCCCTCTGCCATCAGCCTGCTCTCCTGCCACCGACTGAATCCTGGTACAAGCTGAACTACTGTGGTAATCAAATGTAGTCTTTTACATTAGGGCTGCTACTGACTCATAACAATTTGTTTTTTTATCAATTTTTTTATCAGCCCTAGAGATGAAAGAAGTATCTGGGATTTGTACTTCACTCGAAGTAGCAGTATCACTCTGTAAACTAACATTGTTACAAATAAAGGAAAATTACAGGAAAAACGTGCTGAAAGTAGAAAAATGCTTATTCAGTAGAATGGCCTTAGATTTATATCCAATTGAAGTTGATGACAGATTAAGCAGGTGGCAAAATAAATGAATTTTGGCTTTAGTGTTCATTTCAACAGGAAAATTGCAGTCACAATTATTTGTGTATTCTGTGATCAATTCCGTTTATCATCAAATTTAAGATGTTGATATTATCAGGTGTCATCGATTTTATGTATTGTATTTGGCCCTCTTACATCAAAGAGGTCTATAATGGACTTCATGTACTCTGACACTGAACTGTGGGTTCAGATCTGGATTTTGAAAGGCACACTTCATGAAACAGCATGTCCTGTGATATCTTGCTTGCTAGTTTGGGACTTAATATTACCAGTCTTGGGATCCTTAATTATGGGATAGAAGTGCAGCTTTTCAAATAGTACCACACCTTCAAACACCTAAGGTCTTCTTTGAGGTTTCTGGCGTAGCATTACTTAGTGCCTGCTTCAGCTTCAACTTCAAACCTCGTGGGAAATAAAACATTAATCCTTTTTTTTTTCTTGACCTTTCTTTGCTTACAACAACTGTAAGAATAGCTTGTTTTTTATTGGAGAGAAATGTAGTGTTTTGTCTGATTATAAAAAAGATGAAAGATTGACTTAGAATGAGATACTCTTTTTAGCTATCATTGTTTTACCTTTGTATAATTAAAATATTGGTCCCTATTATTCTGTGGGCAAAAGCAAAATTAAATAAATGACCATAAATAATAAATAACCCATAAATGCTTTAGACAAAAGTAAACTGTATGATTACTGAAAAGTCAAGAAGTTAGACTTTGCTAACGTTTAATGACCTAACAAATAAATGTTAGTTTTCACATTGTATGCTAACTCACTGTTTATTGACCAAAAACAAGTGCGTACTGTGACAGAATCCGATATAACATTATTTCTCATATTTCAAAGAAAAATATTAACTTTTCTTCGACGTTCATTAGTATTTGTTGATGTTGGTAAGTTCTACCCGATGTGTAAGTGAAATGTTGTTCCTATTTCTTCACCATAGACTGTAAATATTCTCTTCACTAATTCAAGTTAAGGGCTGTAATATAGACTGTAATATTTACAGTCTATGGTTAAGGGTTAAGGGTTGGAGCAGAGTGACAACCACACGTGTTTGCTGCCTCCTAGCGGTCAACTGAAAGAACTGCACAATCAAATCTTCAATTATTCTCATTTAGATATTATTTTAAAATGGAGTCGCCACAACAAAGGATCAGAATATAATATGCTGGGATGATATGATTTATGAATTAAAACCATGTTTTTTGCATGGTAGCCTTAGTGGTATCTAGCTTAAAAAACAATTTGCAAATGCAATAGTACTACTTGCAGGATTGTTTGCAACAGTTCAAAACTAATATAAGTAATATTAATACAAATAAAAAGAAAGAGCCTTAATGAATTAAACAGTTTAAAATGCATGAGTCCAATAATAATTACCCTTACATAGCTTCTGGTGCGGATTGGGAGTTTGTCCGAAAAAAGAAAATTATATATTATACTGTATTTAAAATAAAAAGAATCGGTGTAAGGAGCGCTATTGGCGACGTTTACAACTAACACAATGCAAGTAAAGGCTTGTGATTGTTAGGTACTTTGCAAATAAGCTTTAGACACATCTGATCACTTTACTTTACTAGGAACTATTACCACACGTGTGCAACCCGGATATATTAATGTGTGGCACACGTCGTTACGTGGTGGAGCCATGTGGAAGCCGTCGTGTGATCGTCGTAGAGAAGTTGTTCAACGCGTTGTCGGTTGAAGTTTGTCCATGAGCACATGAACACATAGTATAGTGAGAGGAAGGTTTTGTTGATGAACGGAGGTTCTCTACATTTCTCTGAATAATGGGCAAGTCAAAGGTAAGTACCGGCCTATGCTCGCACATCAGCCTCTACTGAAGACTTACACCTACCACTACATTTCAATGTTCTACTCAAGCCCATCTTCGTTTGTAAAAGTTATTTATTAAATGAGTTACAATAATGTGTCGGTGAAGGTGTGACAACGTCATTAAAGCGTGTTGAGCTCCTTTCAGCTATGTTAACTGTTAGCTCTCATGCTAAACCACGATCCAATCAAATGTCATTTTAGCTTCTTTTGCATGCTGGCTTAATGTGTATGGGTTGTGCTGCTTACAGACTAAGAACCAGAAGAAATCCAGAGCTCAAGCCAACCATGTGGCCGAGGAGACATACGGAGCTGTCCCCCACTCCTTCGTGTTTCATCGGGGTCAGATTGGAAAAAACGTGGGACAGCTGATCCTGGACGTGCGCAGAGTCCTGGAGCCATACACCGCAGAGTCTCTGAAGGTTCGTCTTTGATACTGAAAGCTCACCCAGATGTCTTCAACCTTGAGATGAAACTGCAGCATGAGTTAACTTTTGAACATGTTTGATTTCTTTAAATGGCACCAAGAGTGTGGATGTATTATCAACCTGATTTTATATTTTTTTGATATTGAGGTTTTCATGAGATTATTTGACAATATAATCCCCCATCATGCTGTTTCTCACACATCATGCCTGACCTCATTTTGCTTCTTTCTTTTTTTGAATATCAGATTAAGAAAAAGAATGTGCTGAAAGATTTTGTGGCTATCGCAGGACCCCTTGGCGTGACGCACTTCATGATCTTCAGTAAGACTCCCAGCAGTGTCAACATGGTAGGTTCAGACCACATTATTAACACTGGGAAAAAAATCGGGAGTTTTTTCCCAGTGTACCCTCGACTCCTAAACACATCTGTTTTGCTTCCAGAGACTTGCACGACTTCCCAAAGGTCCCACGCTCCATTTCAGAGTGCAAAAGGTAAATCAAAGAACACAAGTACTAGAACCATTTATAGCTGGGCTCAGGTGATGAAAGTTTAATATTTGACTGTAAGTGATGTTTTCAAAGTAAACGCACTGATCTGCGCATACTGCCAGGTATTATTTAATTTCAAAAATCTGTCCCACGTTTGAAAGAACTCTTTCTTTTATTGTCTCCAGTACTCTCTCATCAAAGATGTGATTTCATCCCTGAAGAAGCACAGGATGCACGATCAGCAGTTCACCCATCATCCTCTGCTCATTCTCAACAACTTTGGATCAGATGGCATGCACGTCAAACTGATGGCTACCATGTTTCAGAACATGTTCCCGTCCATTAATGTGCACAGGGTATGTTCTCCTGCCAGCACACAGCATTGTCATAGTTTTATTAACACTCAGGATTAAAGCCGTGTTGGCATGATGAAAGTATAGTCTTCTGAGATGTCCTTTGAAGATTTTTCAAAAGTAAACGCTTTCTGACTTGGTTAATCCTGGACACCATCACGTATAACTTTGTTACATTGAACTCGATCTATATGAGAAAATGTTGATTCGTTTGTTTCAGGTGAGCCTCAATAATATCAAGAGGTGTGTGCTGCTGAATTACAACCCAGAGTCCCAGGAAATAGAATTTCGGCATTAGTAAGTAAAAATACTTAGTCATTGTAGTAAGCAAAGATACTCTGTTTCAAAGGTTATGCATGTTAAACAAAAATAGTGTTTAAATGTCATAATAATGTAAAAAAATGAGAGTAATATTTGGTGCAAATCCTCCTATTCTGCACAGCTGGGCTCAGATGATGACAGACTCAAACTTGACTGTTCAGTGATGTTTGTTTAAAGTAAACGCACTGATGGGCCCCCACGCCATGAGCTCTTTTCTTTGACTTACAGTATGTGGTGAACTGACCCATGTGATCTTGTGTCTAACCTTGCAGCAGCCTGAAAGTCGTCCCTGTTGGAATGAGCCGTGGCGTCAAGAAGCTAATGCAGGAAAGGTTCCCCAACATGAGCAAGTTTGATGACATCAGTGAGCTGCTGATGAAGTGAGAGACTTTTTTGAAGCTACACCTTTAAGTCAAAAAGCAACTGGCTCTGAGGCTGTGGCTGCTGCACAATGTCATTTGTTTGGGTGTTTTGTTTCAAGTGTTTACTTTGATCTCAGGGCGGCAAACCTTTCAGAGAGTGAAGCAGAGCAGGACGGGGATCACAACATTACCGAGCTCCCACAAGTCTATTCTGGCCGAGGCAACATGGCGTCCCAGCAGAGTGCTGTCCGTCTGACTGAGGTGAGTGTGCTGAGGCAAGGCAACTATAAACAAAGCTACAAGGCTGGAATGACGCCTAATTGGCGCATTGGTTTTTACCCCAGATTGGCCCTCGCATGACTCTGCAGCTCACGAAGATACAAGAAGGCATGGGAGAGGGGAATATCCTCTATCACTCAATCGGTGAGTTTCTTCACTCTTTATCTTTGTAACCAATGTGTCCTGATGTACATGATGATAAGAATCTGTATGAATTCTATGATTTCTCTCTAAAAGTAAACGCTTACTGATGCATCTAAAGAAGAAGTAGTTTGCTGTGGATCTGCCACAGATTGTCTTTTAATGTGAAATTGTTTTGCTCTTCGTTTGCCAGTCTCAAAGACGGAGGAGGAAATACAGGAGATCCTGGACCGGAAGGAGGCGCAGCTGAGAGAGAAACAGGAGCGCCGGAAAAAGCAGGAGCACGATGTCGCTCAGAAGAAAGAGAAGAATGACGAGAACAAGTAATGTGTTGGTTTAGATGATATGATCCTTCTGTAATTTTAATTTCTTTTAAATGGGTTGATTTGAACTGTGTGTTGTTTTTTTCTCACTTGCCAGGAAAAAGAGCCTGGCAGGTATTAAGAGGAAAAATGCTGAGGCTGAAGAGGACAGCGAGGTGGAGGATCCTGGCTTGCAGGAAGACCGGGCATTCGCTGTTGAGTCTGACGATGAGGTGGAGTACTACAGACAGGCTGTAGGACAGGAGCCAGATGAAGGTGGGTGTAACATGCGCTTCAAACTATGCCAACATGCTCCTGTTTTTGTTTTTGTTTTTGTATCGAGTTATTAACATGATCCCTTTTTTTTCTCTGTACAGACATGTTTCCTAGTTCCAGAAAGAGACAGGGCTTTGACAAAACTCATGGACCTGCCAAGAAGAGGAAGATGTCCCCCGGTAAATCACCATGGAAGGATAGAGATGCCAAATCTCCAAAAAGGAATGGCCCGGGAGGATCTCGGAGAGACGCTCAAGGAAAGGGATGGAAGAATTCCAGGGACGAGGAGAAAGCATTTGGAAAGCATATGAAGTCGGGAGGAAAGGTGTTCAAAGGAAAGACATTCGGTTCAAGGAATTCTGGTGATCGTGACATGAAATTTGGTGGCAAGAAGAAATTTGATGGGAAGAAAACATTCGGGGGAAATAAAAACAAGGACCGATCATTTCCATCTAAAAGTCAGAAAGGTAAGCCAGGCTTCAAGAAGAAAGGCGCAGGAGGAAAGCAAGGCTTCAAACAGAGGAAGGGGAAAGGCTGAGAATTAGTTGTTCTTTCTGGACTCAAATGTTGAACGTGTTACCGTGCGGAGCAGCAGAGGGCAGCAAACATCCATATCCCTACAAGGCCTCAGCCTGTGAACGCCTCATCAGTGAGTGAGGGTTGTGAGACTGTTAATTGCTGAAAATCAGCAGAGACAGAAGTAAACTAACGTGCTTTATTTTCACACTGTGAGTTAATATTAAAAATGTACTTTTTCAATAAAATGTATGAAAAAACAATCAATGTAGGGTGGGATTCTTGTTGAAAGGTAATTTAGGATTTGTGAAATAGTTAGTTTAATTTGGTTCTTTACTGAAAAATATCTTCCAAGACATGCAATGAAAACATTCTAAGGGTGCGGTCAAACTGGCCATCCGTACTGTGCTTCAACCTTTAAAGTTAGTTCCACAACTCAGGGCTCGTTTCAGGAACTATGTATCTTTCTCTAGCAGGTCCTTTCCTATTAAAAACTAGTCTAAATGTTTGAAATGTATTTACAGGTTGAACTACTTCAATGTGAAACAAGTCACGTCATACAACATAAACGTAAGGAAATAAATATTGCAGGCACTTTTCCAAGAATATGAAGAATGCGCCTGGCAGGTTTGAGTCTCATTTCAAGTAGTTGACTTCCGGCTTGCTTCATTTAGCGCAGGTCAGCCCAAAAGACGAATCTGACCACATCTGTGGTAGTGATGTGAAAAGCAGTTCTTTTCAGTGTACTGAATCAGTAGAATCAGTTCAGTAAAGTGATTCGTTCAAAAGATTCGTTCACTGAATCGTTCAGTACTTCTCTGCAGCTCTGTCTGTGAATCAGAATTTAATAAGCTGAAACACGGCCGAACGTTTAGTTCTGCTCGCGATCGTACTGAGAACAGCCGGTGGTGAATAATAAACCAATGAGCTGAGAATTTAGTTGGATAAAGCTACAGTTTGCAAACTGAAAGCTGCTAAAACAATCACATTTATTTTCCGTTCTGTTCAGTACGTTCAGTACAAGAAGAGGAAGAGAGAGACTCGGAGGCGGAGCTCTTCCTCTCAGTCAGTCAGTGATTCATGTCGGAGCTCTCGTTCAGTTCGTTCACCCAGATGATTCGTTCGTTTTGAACGAATCGTTTACGAACTACACATCACTAATCTGTGGTGTTCTAAAATTCACATGCTGATGTTTGTGGACAGATTACACCCAAGAGGAGAGGTGAGTATCGGTGAAAAGTGTTCAACATATTTGCTCTGTTGTAATTAGTCAAAATGAACTTGATATCTTCGGGGATTTTATTATTTCCTTTTTAACACGACGGCTTTAAAATTGACATTTAAAGGAAACATTTGCTTTGGAAGTTACGTGTTTGAAGGTATATATGCTTATTTGAATTAAACTTGACTTTAGTATCTAATATGAAACCGAAATAACAGCGAGCAGACGTATTGCTAATTGAATTATAGAGTAAAAAATGTAAAACAATGGATCACATAAAACTATGAGGACACATTAAGATACATGTACAACAATTGACAATACAAAATGCTATCAACCAATTTAAATTACAGACACCATTTAAGGTAACACTTTATAAAAACCGTCATCAAAGTGTAAATAGATAATGAATACAACTTAAGTTAATAGTTAGTTACTTTACTGCAAACTAACAATGAAATGATAGTTAATGTTTGCCAATTATCTGTCATCAGTTTAGTGTTGCACACATAACATGTTATACTCTATATAAAGTTTATAATTCTTTGTAAGTGGTTAATAAATACCGTGTATAAGCATTATCTGGGTGGTGATTATAAAGTTGGAACAAGATATTATAATCTTCTGTTCCAACTTTATAATAGCCTTTGTTCATAGATACTTTACAAAATTAAATTAACCATGAACATGGTGTTACAAATATCTGGTCTATATCTAATGTTCTCTTAAAGGTTTACAAATCCTTTGGCAATCATTAACAAACACTTTATTTATGTATAAAATGTTATAATGTGTGCAACAATAATCTGTTCACATAACATAACTTATAGCGCAACAAATAATCAGCAAACGGTTAAATTGTAAAATTCATGCGGAGGGCTTAAGAGGAAGTGCCTTCTGGTTCTATATCTCCACCGTCTCCCTCGCATTTCTTGCAAAGACAATCATGAACCTTGTGATTCTCAAGCAAGTACTTTCTATGAACATTTTTCCAAACTTCATCTAAATCTTATGTCAGTCCTCTTTCCCTTTTAAAAGTCCATCATCTTTATTGTTTGATTTCTTGACCTTACATTTCTCTTTATTTCATTTCATAAAGATTGGGCGAGGATGCTTGAGGTAAACTTAGCCTATAATAATCAGTTCATCTAAATATACACATTTACCACCCTACACTTTACCAGGCTGTCTTGCCACATTCACGGGTGGTTTTGTTGGTTTTTCATCTTTCTGGGTTGGGTTTAACAGAAAGCTACCAGTCCTTCTCCTCTGTACATCTGTTTAGCAGGTTCATGTTTTGATTTTGTGTTGTTTTGATTAAATTGGTGGTTGATTTTTGTCTTATGTTTTGCAAACATTTTCCATGTGATGGCACGCAATGTCGTCATTGGTTCTTCAAATTGTGAAATTCATGCAGAGGGCTTAAGAGGAAGTGCCTTCTGGTTCGATATCTCCACCGTCTCCCTCGCATTTCTCGCAAAGACCATCATGAACCTTATGATTCTCTTTCTCACACTTTGTTTCCAGACATCACACAGGAAATGAACTGAACAACATAAACTCTGAGGTTATACTTCATCGCACAGAGCACTGCAAGTCTGCCATTTGGGTAAGTGGAAGTTCTGCTTTTTTATTGTTAAATCAACTCTTGTTATCTTACTGTTAGTGCCATCTTTTGTTTGTTCAAAAAAGTGCTCTCTCTTTATATCTTTCACATACTCTTGACTACAGTAATACGTTCTCAACTTAATGTGTCTAAACTAATGTGAAGTTCTTAAAAAAGATGAGTTGAATGACATGCACTGATTTACAGATATTGGACCGAAGAAACTGTGTAAAGCAGCATCCTTCAGCTAAAAGCAACATGGAGCAAAATTTCTCTGCCTGTGAGAGCTTTCAGATTGCCCTGCTGCCCGCAATGTACAGCATTGAGTTCATTGTTGCCCTGGCCGGAAACCTATTTGCAGTTTGGCTGTTGGTGGTCAGAGAGAGAAAGAACTGGCACACTGGAGTTGTCCTGTCTTGCAACCTGGCGATCAGTGACCTGCTGTACGTCCTGACCTTGCCTCTGTTGATCGTCTACTACTTCCTGGAGAAACACTGGCTGTTTGGTAACCCTGTGTGTAAGATTGAGAAGTTTCTTTTCACTTGCAACCTGTATGTGAGCACCTTCTTCATCATGGCAATAAGTGTGAACCGGTGTGTGGCCCTTATGTGGCCCTTCTTTACTAGATCCCATATAAGGCCTTACCACGCCAAGGCTGTCAGTGTCGTCATCTGGATCCTTGTAGCACTTATTTCCTGCCCTGTGTTGAAATTTGCCTCTGTTTGCCCTACAAAAAACAGCACATTGTGTGTGTCTTTCTGTACCCAGCCTGAAGTAGATGAAACCCCTCATGTCACTTACAAAATGTTTCTTGCAGTTTTTGGGTGTCTTGTTCCCTTCTTGGTTACTTTCACTTCTTACTGTGTGGTTATTTGGGTGGTGTGGAAAAATGTCAGCATAACCACACTGGAGAAACGCAAAGTAGCTTTGTTGGTCACATCAGCTCTTGTGCTGTACACCATTTCCTTTGTGCCTTACCATGTCTTTCAAAACTATCACTTGTATCTGAAAATCCATTACCCCAACAACTTTGCCTGTTGGGTCTACAACATGTACCAGGTGTCTAAGGGACTGGCTACTCTGAATATGTGTATCCATCCAATCCTTTACATGGCTTTGTTTGACAGTATCAGAGTAGCTTGTTGTGGAAAGAGCCAAGAGGAAGACTACAAAGGAGGGATAAGGAAGTAGAGCAACTTGTGGGCAGCTTTTCTGTAAATAACATAATTATGCCATGAGATAATAAGCACATCATATAGGAGATATTGCTTGAATGTATTGACTTGTTTTTGTATTGTTGAAAGTTATTATGCTAACCTTGAAATATAAAAACATTTTTATTGATACTCTGATGTTGTACTGCTTCTTATTTCAATCTTAAATGTCTTTGACTCTTATCTAATTCACATCAACATTACTATTCTATAGCCACTGACTACTATTTTATATCAAATAATCTAATTTAATAAGAGGCATCACTTCAAAATCACAGCGGTTGGTTTCTGGGGGTTTGGTTTTCAAACATTTCAGTGGAGAAGTTATCAACAAAATAGCCTTATCTACGAAAGACTCATAACTTTCATTAAAAGTAAAGCATTGCTGGAATCCCAATACATTTTCCAATTAATTGTTTATTTATATATTTAGGCTACAAATGACAGGAAACGTTCTGAGCTACATCAGCTTGTGTCATTTTAACCTCCCGATGCCATCCTATCTCAAGTAAAACTTTTCTCTACAAGTTTACAATTGTTTCTAGGTTTATAACATCATAACAATAGAAATCAAGACTCTTATTATGATGCAAGCACATCTTCTTTAAGAGAGGGGCGTGGTCAGACACAGCTCATTTACATATTTAAAGGTACAGACACAGAAACAACCTATACATACAGGATCAGAGTGGATTTAGAACAAGAAACTTAGATTTGTTTTCAGGAACTCTGAGACTATGTGTTAAAAATAAGTATAACATGTGACCTTTAAGGATTTCTATAATGGTGTGAACAAAAAAATATTTTGTTCTGACCATTTTGTTCTCTGCAAAAGTAAAAGCACCCTTTGTAGATGAGCTGATTGGCTTAGCACAGATCAAGTCACACAGCAGACTGGGGTTAAATAAGGCTTGAATAAACATGTTAAAACTATTATTTTTACAGTCTATGGTTAAAACACACGTGATACTTTTACTGCGAAATGAAAACCCCGGAAGTGTTTGCAGTGGCGCTTAGGCTCGGCTCGCGCTCTGCCCCCCCTCTTCCGGTGCGGTCCTGAAGCTAAGCTAACCGAGAGGATGCCGTCGATTGAATACGACGAGTGAGTCTTATTATGAACATTAAATTCTATGTTTGTTTTGTGATTCTTCCATTATTCTAATACTGATATTAATCTTCCCCTCCAGCTCCAAGCCCAGCTGGGCAGATCAAGTCGAGGAAGAAGGAGATGAAGGTAAAGAGCCACCTTGTTAGCTAGTTAGCTTACCGTTAGCCTATCTGTGGTCCGGTGCCTGAAGGCGGAGGCCGGGCAGGAGGTTTTCATTTACACGTGGTTGTTCACTCTCCAGTCAGACTATATTTACATGTAACGCTTATGTTATCTTGGTGCGAATCAAACTCTAATGTGACCGACTGAAATTGCCAACGTAATGATGAAGCATCTTGTCGACGGCCTGTTGACAGCTCGGTGTCATTCTATGAAACCGGCTGAGAGAGTGCTAGCTTAGCGTTAGCAAGTCAGCCAGCTGTGTGACGGGCTTTGTCCGGAGTAAACACTTTACTTGTGTAGGATATTATATTCCACTTTCTTCGCCAATATTTATTTATCTGGATGTGATGTACGTTCTGGAAAAAAAGTTTCAAGTATCAATGTGATCGAAAAGGGGGCTATATCAGAGCCACTTAAATTAAAGCCTTGATAGCTTAGAACCATAGCAACTGGCGGCCCCCATCAACCCTCAACGTGGCCCTCAGGTCAATTTTTACATATCAATTAATTGGAAAAACATGACAAAATCTGCCATGAAATCATGAAAACCAGAAATATGTCCGTAATAATATTTGATCACTGGTATGTGAGGTAAATTTGAGACATAATTGATTGTAATTGTTTTTGTATACTACAATTTGGCCCTCTGGAAGTGTGAATTCAATTAATGTGGCCCTTGCAGTCACCAAAGTTGCCCATCCCTGAATATGCAATTAAAATTAAGATTTAGTTTTATTGATCCCCGCAAGGGGAATTTTCAGTTTTTACACTCTGTAAGTCATGAACACACACATGCAGAAACAGGATCCTAGTTAGTGTTGACGTCATGATCAAACAGAGAGGATCTGTGACAGAATTAAAGTATCTCTGTGGCTGTACAGACATTTAGCTCATTCCCTGACAACAGTCACAGCTGATAGGGTTAGTCCTGACTATACCAACAAAGTTCTGGATTGTTTGGCAGACTTGGTGTCTGCTCTCCATTAGTTTTAGGTAGACTAGTTAAGGTAACATGCCCCCCCCCCCGACTTTAGATCATCTTGAGTATAAATACAAAGCCTATGGGATACTGTGACAGACACTGTATTACATGTGCTGTTAATGTCACTTCTCTTCACGAGTCGTATATAAACACCTTCAACTTAAGCCATTGGAGGATGCACTAATGGAGAGATGTCAGAGTGGCTGAGCGGCCCACAGCGGGCACTCCTGAGCTGATGGTGGGGAGGGGGTTTGGTGCCTTGCTCAAGAGCACCTCTCCAGCTACCAGACCAACTTCCATATTTGGTCCGCACCGGGACTTGAACCGGTGATCCTCCGGTTCCCAACCCAAGTCCATACGGACTGAGCTACTGCCATTGGCAATTGATTGCCTAATTAAAGTATTTGCTTTCTGGCGTCTTCCTCTAAATCTAACAGGGCTCTATTTGTTTCCAGGCACACTACCACCCTCAAAGGAAACCATCAAAGGAAATATAAAAACTATCACGGAATATAAAATAGATGATGACGGAAAGAAGTTCAAGGTAATTTGAGTAGTATTCATTTACACATGGCTTTTGTCGCGATTCCTAACAGTGCTGTTGTATTACATTATGGGTGTTGATCCTGTGTTGCACCTACAGAAGTTAGGAAATGATGTGCTATGATGAAATCAATAATGTGGCACACAAGTAGCTACAAACATCAGGACTTAAGTTGTGGCCATTTAGCTTGTAACACCAAAAAAAAAACAAATTTAGTAACTCAGTTGTCTGGATTTCTAATTCACTCTCACAATGTTTTTTGTTGATGACATTACCCCACTTTATACTAAGTGGCTATTCATTTTACTTAATTTGTAAAAGATTATACATGATAGTTATGCAGTAAGTCATTAAAGAAATCTTGGATCAGTGAAATAAAGGTTCATAATGCATTTGCCATCTATTGTTTTCTAGATTGTGCGGACCTTCAAGATTGAGACAAGAAAAGCCTCAAAAGCTGTTGCCAGGAGAAAGGTATGCTTTTAAAATTGAAAGAAGTTAAAGTCAGGTTGACTCTGAAAGGAACTAAACTTTGAGTAAATCTATACATCATGACATGTATTCTTTTTTATTGTTTCTCATTTCAGAACTGGAAGAAATTTGGAAACTCTGAGTTTGATGCCCCAGGTCCTAATGTTGCCACCACTACAGTCAGTGACGATGTCTTTATGACTTTCATTTCAAGCAAAGAGGTGAGCATTCATTGTGCGCTTTATTGAGCTGCTACCCACTGATGTGATATGTATGCAAACTTCATTATATATTTGTTTTAAATGTACTCGGTTTAGATTGTTACTCAGTACCTTAATTCTCCTCTTGCAGGACTTGAACGCCCAAGACCAGGATGAGGATCCCATGAATAAACTGAAAGGACAGAAGATTGTGTCTTGTCGTATTTGCAAAGGCGACCATTGGACCACCCGCTGTCCATACAAGGATACCCTGGGCCCCATGCAGAAAGAGCTGGCTGAACAGCTTGGACTTTCCACCGCAGACAAGGAGAAGCCTGCCGGCTCTGGTACCATCAGCACACCTTTCACATGATCAGATATATATTTGGGTTTTGTGGTCCACTCTTGGCCATAGTGGTCGACTGTTCCTACAGCTTTGACTGATGCTGCTTTCCTTTCTTTTCTTTGACTAGTTGAACCAGAGCCTGCACAACCTGCGCAGAGCAAGACTGGGAAGTATGTGCCCCCGAGTCTGAGGGATGGAAGCACCCGGAGAGGGGAGTCCATGCAGCCCAACCGGCGAGGTGGATGTAAGTAGTAAACCCCTTACTCTTTACACCCATCTATATCAACTACATTCATTATGCAGACGCAGGAGCTTCCCTCAGCATTAACAGCGTATGCTTGCATTTTACAGCTGATGACAATGCTACCATCCGTGTGACCAATCTGTCTGAGGACACCCGTGAAACAGACTTGCAGGAGCTCTTCAGGCCGTTTGGCTCCATCTCCAGGATTTATCTGGCTAAAGACAAGAACACCGGACAGTCGAAGGTCAGTGTTCTCTTCTTTTTAACACAAACATATAAACCTGTTTAGTGTATTTTTTTGTAGTGGAGTTTGCTTACACTGTGAAGAACTGTGGTACATATGAAAACAACCAGTAGAACAGCATTGACCAGTTGCCTTACTCTTGGACTACTTGCTGTGTTTCTGCAGGGATTCGCCTTCATCAGCTTCCATCGCCGCGAGGATGCAGCCAGAGCCATTGCAGGAGTGTCAGGATTTGGATATGATCATCTTATTCTCAACGTTGAATGGGCCAAGTAAGTCATTGTTATGTTTATGAATTAAGAGTTATAGCATGTTAGTAATTATTGTTATGCTCATTACATTCTCTTCTGTTTGCAGACCTTCAAACAACTGAGGAATCCGTCAGAGTATATTCCAGAACGCTGCCAGATTTTATTGGAATAAAATATGGCTGTTCACTTAATAAACAGAATCAATGTTGTTACAATTTCCTCGTTGTTTGTTTTCTTTAAGACGATGCATAATGTCATGGATACTGATGTTCTGTAATGTATTCAATAACTGGCATGGAACTCCATTTAAATAAGTCTTGGTAGAATGACAAGTCAACAGAGAAAAGCAAGAAAGGAAAATTCAGTTGAAGTCAAACAGATGTCAGTTACTAGTTTTTATGAATTCAAATGTTTTTTTTCAAGTGCATCGCATGCTCACTTGTGCACCTGTGTTGTCTGTGTGTTAATGTCTGAGGTCAAGTGTGTGGGAACTTGACCTCAGACAGCATGTCAGTTTCAATTCAGATATATTCTACAAGATTAGGTGAGTGATTGTCATTTTGGATTCAAGGGGATTGTGATGAGAATTTTTAACTATTTGTTGTTACATGTTCCCTGAATGCACTGTGTTTGAGGGTCCTGTGACTTCTAACTTGTTGGCCATGAGGTAGACTTCCTGGGTCATACACTGTAGAAGTGATGGGTGGCACCTGTTGGTAAAACAATGTTCAAGATTGTGAGTATAGAAGAGTACATATCTGATTTGAAAATGTGTCTTTGATTTTGTTTGCTTTGACAGACAATGACAGAATTATTTTGGTAGTTAGTGTTGACATCATGATCAAACAGAGAGGATCTGTGACAGAATTAAAGTATCTCTGTGGCTGTACAGACATTTAGCTCATTCCCTGACAACAGTCACAGCTGAGGGTTAGTCCTGACTATACCAACAAAGTTCACTTTGTGTCTCCCCTCATGTCTGGATTGTTTGGCAGAGTTGGTGTCTGCCCCCCCCCCGGCTTTAGATCATCTCGAGTATAAATACAAAGCCTATGGGATACTGTGACAGACACTGTATTACATGTGCTGTTAATGTCACTTCTCTTCACAAGTCGTATATAAACATCTTCAACTTTTGTTCAGTCTCCTGAATCTTGTGTCAACAGTAGGGATTACACATTAAATTGTCACAGCCTTACTACCACCATGTGTATACAAGCTGCAACAAGGCTTGAGTACATTTGTCTGGGTTAAAATGTTTCGTACCTAGCCATGGGTCTAGTCAAAAACTGCAGCTGCTTCCCCCCCAAAAAAAAAAAATCATAAAGGTTTAATACATTTCATTTAAGGTTTGTGGATCACCTGCAGTTAGTTTCAAATGAATTTCAACGATCCAAATACAAGATTCTAGGAGCTAACTGAGGTAACATTATTAAAGCCACCTTCAGCTACAAGTTTACAGCTAAACCAACATCACTTCACTATATTAATGCAGTAAATACACAAACAGTTAATTCATAAGAGCTTTATTTGAAACATTAAAAACTACATACAGTTGCCCCACATTTAGTGAGAACTTCCCAACATCATGATGAAATCACATTAAAAACTTTAAATAAACATGGAATGGCACATGGCGGCCACTTAGTGACACAGTTGAAAGCCATCTTATTTAAAAGGAATGATTGGCCGACGGGAACATCAGGATTTGTGTTAGGAGGGGAATTAATCACACCTCCTCCATCTTCTCTTGTTTGACGTTTTCTGTGAGGAGGAGGAGGAAAAACATTAGTACAGTGAAGTTCCTGGATATTCAAGTGTTCATTATAAATCAGTAGAAGAGTAATTGAGATGACTCACCTGTTGCTTGTTCTTCCTTTATCCTCTCCAAGATACACTTTCTGATCTCGAGGCCGATGGCTCTGGAGAGAGGAGGGGGCACAGCGTTTCCAACCTGGCAGAAACAGAAGCCGTTACACTTTTTAACGACACAATAAACTTGTAGTTTATAAATGTCATAAGAACTTAAATGTTCATAAAAAATATACTAGTGTTAGAAATAATTGAATTGTAGTATTAGGAGACAGTGCCTGTGTTTAAACAACACTGAGCGAATATTAGCCTTTAAGTTGATTTGGTGAACTCCTTCAAAAAGGTGCCACATACACACCCTACTGACAGCAGGATTTACATACACAAGTCATACAAAAGCTAATTAAAATAGGGCTTCAATTTTTAAATAGTTCTAATCTTAAAAACACCACATTTACATATTGTGTACTTTAATGTTGATGTTTTGTGAAACATTAGTTAGCTGCAACATAGCACCACAGATTAGAGGACGGAGACTTTACCTGTCTGTGTTTGTCCAGGACGTTTCCAAAGAAGCGGTAAGTGTCGGGGAATCCCTGTGAGCGTGCACACTCCCTCACACTGACCACTCTGTGCTGCTCAGGATGCAGAACGCGACCCTTAAAATGAAATACAAAACTATGAATTAGATCAAATGTAATGTCCAATGTTTTTTTTGTAATCAAGAGTCAAGAAGGGGACTGTTCCACAGAAACGTTCAGAGAACAACATTTCAAATCCACTTTAAAGAAAATCTTTCCATTTCTATCATCTTTGGAAAAAAGTCAACGGACCTGCTTGCCCATTGGTTCAGGGTTAGTGACGGTTGTGCTGAAGAAGCCGTCCCACTCCAATCTGCCGTAGAGTCCAGCCCAGTGGTTGTGGCGGTTTCCAGTGTGGGGCAGACACCAAGGGATCAGGGTGTTAAACTGCCTGTCAGCAGGGTCACATGGCTTCCCTATAACATAATCAATGATTAGTCATTGGACATCTAAACTCTTGTTATTTTCAGTACGTGAGCAGAAAAGCTCGACCTGCGTACCTCCTGAACAAGTGCAAACTCCTCTAAGTGCACCCGTGCTGCTGCGCCCATTCTTTTTGTCGGGGTGTGAGTATCGCAATTTCTTAGTCATGGTGCCATCTCTCAGCCGAACCTCCATGTTGGGCAGATCCCTCCAATCGGAACCTGGAGCCAAGGGAATGTGACGCATCCGACCTTCAACCAGGGCACTCATGTCCTGAGGAGACAAAGATGTGTTATAATGAAACTCATTTATAAAGAGAAGAATGATCAGGTACAGCCCTGACTTACCACAAAACATCCTTAACATGAAAATGACACTACCAAGAAGAAGTGTGACAGCTCACCTTGGTTTATGTATATAAATGTATATTACAGGTTTATTATTTATTTGTAAATTTAGATTAAATAAGGAAGCCTATGTTCAACTATTAACTAAAAATTAATGGAGGAGGGTGGGATGATGTGTTTCTATCTCAGAAAAAATAAATAAATACATGCTTGAAATAAAGCCTTCAATCAATCACCTTGCACATATGATCTCTGAGGATTGGCTGATACTGTGTGCCTCTAATCTGCCTCTGGAACCAGGACTGAGGCTCCCCGTTGTAGGAGATCTCCAACGCAGCAGCACCATTACGGATCTCTGGCAGGTCAGACATCGTGTCCCTGACAGTGATGGTTCTGTAGATTCCTCCATTACCTCTGTTGAAGACAGAGAACCGTCTAGTGCACTGTTACAGGCTCAATAAATCAGATCTTTAAAAAGTACGGAAGAGGATGTTTGCATTACCGTGTGACATTGCTGACGTATTTCTTTTCGTCCACCACAACGTTGAGAGAACAAGCTCGGGGAGCAAACACGTGCAGCGGCTCAGGATAGCGAGGCAGCTCCTCTCCAGGTGCAGCAGCAAGAATGATCGCCCTGCGCCGAGTCTGAGCAACACCATACTGACCAGCCTGTTGAGGAGGCGAACATTGAGCATGTCACAAGTGATGACTACAGTCGTCATAAAATACTCCATTATTCACCCTCTATCAGTTTGCATGTATAACAAAACTGACAAAGGATTGCAGTACAAAACGTAGTTGGGCTCATTACTGTGATCAAAATAAATACATAAGCAAGAAACCTGTGAATGTTATTTACAGATGGAGCCCTGGAAAGTTAAATACATTCATAGACAGTTACCACCTCATAAATTGGGTTAAAATGTATTTAAAGAAAAGTGAACAAGGCCGTTTTTAATTTTCTGCATATTTAATATTCATACTGATGTTCTCGCCACTGCCAGCAACTAACTGGTGGATATGGAGAGGGTGTATACTCTTCCAAGCCATTTGTCTCCTAAGATACATATTTGCTTACATGGAGGTTTGCCAGAAAGTTAACACCTTCAGACATAAAAGCAACAATATGTATCTTTTTCACATTAAAATAGAAGTCGATCTAAAAGAATAAATAAAAGACTTTTAACGGCGGGGAGAACAGTGTCTCATGACTAAACTGTAATGCGGCCCCGTCGCCTACACATCCCACACATTGCTTTAACGTATTCTTCTAGATCCACAGCAATAAGCCCTGTTTAGAATACATTCTGTCCAGACTGAGTATTAGTCAGTTTAGTGAGACTCACCTGAAGAACACCAAAAGTACACTGGTAGCCCATGCGCACTAGACAGCGTAGAGTCAGCTTCAGGACCATGGAGCTTTTGAATGAAACAAAATTCCTCACATTCTCCAGGAGAAAGAACTTGGGTCTGTAGTAATCACAGTAACTGCAAGAGAAGAAAACCTTAAATTAAATTTGCACTGTATGATCCATATCGCAGAAAACTAGACACCATGTTTACAAATATTGCCCTCATATACACTTACCTGAGATAAGAGACCACGAGCGAGTTCTTGAACGCAGAGTAAGTGCGAGAGTTGAAGCGGTTCATCCCACTGAAGCCTTGGCAGGGAGGTCCTCCGCACAGCATCTCTACATCCCCCTTCTGAGGCAGCTTCTGGCCGAGAGAATTCGTCTTCTCTCCAGACATGACCAACTTGAGCAGGATGTTGCAGTCCTCAGTGAACACTGTAGTGCCAGGGTTGTTGAGCCTGAAGGCCTGGGCTGCAGGTTCCCACATCTCTATGGCCCACAGAGTCTCAGAGACACCTAAAAGCAATCAGCAGTCAGGTTGTTCATTTCTGAATTAAAGTCCAAGCATATCCCCATATGCATATCTGATAATGGATTTTAAGAATGGCACATACCAGCCTGATGGAAGCCTTCAGAGAGTCCGCCACAGCCAGAGAACACATCCAGTGTGCGATATTTAGGCACTTTAAGAATCTGTGGTTCAGTCTGAGAGTCCTGTGGTTCCTGTGTAGCTGACGCCTTTCCTTTGCCTTTACCTTTATGAGAAAAACAAGATAATTGGATGAGGATTTCAGTCTGCACCAAAACATTATTTTCTTTAATCATGAAAATATTGCATCTGCATAGTCACCTTTCCCCTTGCCCTTTCCTTTGCCTTTATGAACTGCAGAGCGAGCATGATTTGGAGGGTCTTCAAAGCTTTTGGTTTTTGCATTATATGCCTGAGAGAGGAATGTGTTTTAATAAAGGATATAAACTGCTGTAAACTAATATATATATTTTTATATACAATTACAAAATAAGCACAACATAACCACCAGGTGCTGGTGTTTTTTTTAAACACAATACCAATGTGATAGCAATAACCTAGCCATTTAATGTCAAGTCATTTGCTTCTCGATAACCTAATCTGTAATCACTGTCCAAATGAACAATTTAAGAAATAAAAACACACCTCCAGGAAATAGAAGCGGTCCGGTCCACCACTGGAAAAGTCCTGGACTGATTCATACAGGTCTTCTCCGTATTCTACCTGACAGCGACCGAGCACCTCAGTCATGCTCACGGTCACTTCTTCGTCGCTCCAGTACAGCTGATTGATGTCTGTGTGGTAACTGGCCTTAACACCTTTGTGAGTGTTCTCAGGTCTGGCAGATGAAACAGTTAAATTCTGATTATTTGTAACAGACTCAAATGAAAGAAAACTAGTTTGAAAATAATGTGTGTTCACCTGTACAACTTGTAGAGTCTCAGTTTGACCTCTGTAGAGTCAGGTTTTCCGTTGCTACGTCTGTGGCAGAAAATCTCCTTGATGCGGCCGATGCGGAAGGGCTCTGGAGCATCCAGGTTTGACCCTTTGATGTAGTCTGAGGACTTCCTGTAGTATTCAGGATACAAGTCTTCATCCACATCTTCTTTTCTATGGGAGCGCTTCACTGGACTTGCTGGCTTCACACTGAGTTAAGGGAACACAGAAGGTTAGTTTTCCCTTACTCGACAAGTTGAAGTAATTGATACATTTGAAGTCACTCTCCTTACCTGAAATTAAAAGCATCAGGGGGCAGGTAGACACTGTCTCCAACCTTGAACTGCTGCCCCTTGAAGCAGGCCAAAGCATACAGAGCTTTGGAGTCGCTGTCTTTGTCTTCCAGGGGTTCACATGCACGAGGTGTTTTCCGCTCTTCTCTTTCTTTAGTTCTAACACAGCTGCCACAGAAGCTGGAAGCAAATGGGAGCATACGCTAAACAGTTAAACCACAAAGAATAGATGACAAGTGCAGTATAAATAAATGTGATCATGGTTCTTACTTGAACTTGCAGTCTTCTGATGGTGTGGTCTTGGGAGGTGTCACAAAGCGGGCAAAGTCTGTGTCATACCAGAACTGATAGAAGAAACTCTTCCCATCGTCATCAATCACCTTAATATCTTCATCCATGCCACCCTGAAAAATAAATGCAACAAAGGGATCAAGAAAAATGTCTGCTAAAATACACTTTCACATGTTGGAAAGTTTGCTTACCTCCATAAACCAGTTGTTGGACGGGGCCTTATACGTAACATTCACTTTGCCTTGAACATAATTGAGCTGCATGTCTTCACATTCGTCCACGATGACTAGCTCCAGCGGATCAGAGGATTCTCCCAGTACTGTGCAAGTCCCGCGAAGGAACCAGTGGGCGTGGAACATCTTTCCATTGTTGTCTTCCCACAGAGATGTGATCCTGTGAAGAAGTTTATCATTAGACTTAACCATGCCACAGAGAAGAGATTATAATCAAAGTAAATAAAAATGGCCTACCTTGCCAGAAACAGAGGGGTACTTGGATCCTCTGATGAAACTGAGACGCAGTCGCCCAACTCCAGCTCTTCATCGTTCACACAGACCTTCTTGTAGTACTGCCTCTTCCCCTCAGTCTGAAATGATGATGCTTTGTAAATACACACATCCAGCTGGCTTTTCAAGCATGACAGACAATCATCACTGGTACAGACAATCATCACTGGTTCATCCAAGGAGGATGAAAACCTACCTTAATAGACTCTCCGATCCATGCCAGTTTGCACTGGCTCTGCTTCTTCCTCTTAGCATGAGAAATTTTTTTGGGCTTCTCTATCGGAACATCTTCCTCTTCAACGATCTCATCGTCTTCAGCCTCCTTAACTGCAAGATTTGGGCATCTAAGCAGAGGATTGAAGATTGCCAGAAATAAATAATTTACATAATTTCTCAGTTTCTTCTTAATCAAAAGATATCCAACAGGTGTTGTCAAATCAGGACACCTGCACCCTTCACTACTCAGAGACATGCTCACCTTCTTTGCTTACAAGCCTGCTTGCTTTTTCCACCTCCCCCAAACTTGATCATGTCCTTACAGGCTGCACATTTGCCACAGTCAGGTGATTGGCAAACCTAAAGACAGATTTACATTTTTTTTTGTTGATTTCAGCTTTATACACAGACCGTGTTAAATTTCAAATTCTTAAATACACACTTACCTCACAGACACCACAGCGCTGTCTTTTGGCTGCACCACTGTCTTTACCGTTTTGCTCTATCTGATCGGAGAAGAAGGTATCAAAGATCTGGTACACCAGCTTGGTAGTTGTAGCTTTGGTTGGTCCCTTACTGTCCTTCTCGATCTTTGTGGGGTGACGAATAGCCTGTCTCCTGGCAGCTCTCCTGTAAATAGAATAAAGGTTGCATTGAGCGTCAAAGTTTGTTTGGATTAGCACCAACACCTGGTGATCTGTGGAGCGATGGCACTATGAAGCCCCTGGCCCCTTAACACACCACAGCATCAGGCCATGCAACAAAAGAAACAAGCAAACCAGACAGACACAGTAAAGATGTACAATGAAGAGTTCTTGCCTGATGCAAGCGGCCACTCCACCAAGTAAACAATATGTTCAACACGTGTGTATCCTGTCAGTTTTAGAGGTTCAAATGTTTTCTGTCTGTCTCACTAAGTGACACAAGGAGGCAAAGCGTAGTCTACAGAAAGCAGGCAAACAAATCACAGAAGGAGAATAAAGTAGGGCTTACAATCCTAAAGCCTCATCACCGTTACAGAGTTTTAACTATATTATGGAAAAAAAAGCAAATTTTTGATTTCACTCTGATGGTTCACATCTGATACTAGCAGTGTGGATAACCATATACGAGGGAAAAAAAATATCAGGGGTTGTTGTAACATTGATAGATTTAGAACGCTGAATTTTTAGGCGTCCACAGATTCCTTTTGTAAAGATGAAGACCAAGTAAAGATTTGAAAACTCTCCTCTACCGATTGCCTTTCTGAGGCACTAAAGCCAGTCAGGCTTTACATGCTCCGTTTTTGTGATGTTCACACAGTAAGCAGAGAGCTTTACATGACTGATGTAGAACAGAAAGAATAATCTATTTTGCACATTTGAAGATGCAAGAAAAATTACCTGTTTTATTGAGACGAGCACAAAATATAGAAATGGAAATGTTTCTGCATGGTTCTCCATCATTTATCGGTATGTGTCAAGAATTCAAATATGCCAGAAACTTAAAATAAACCACAACATGAACCCCCTAAAATATTGAATAAATAGATATATTTTTTTAAATCAGCATGAACTCTGGTATGCTATTTTTGTCCATGTAAATTTGAAATGCTTCACACCAACACACCACCATACAAGCCAATGACACATTCACAGCAAGGCCTACCTACCAGTACAGCAGCATGCTGCGTTAGGAAATGTCAAAGGAATGTTAGAGATCAGGGGACAAAAGGAGCAAGAGCAGATCAAATAGGAATTTATACAAATGAAGAATACATACACATTCCTTAAGTATGTTAACTACGTAGCACACTACCTGCTCATGTTTGCTTTCAATGTGACCTTAAGTATGAATAGAAAGCAGACTTAAAAGTTGTTTGAATGGAAATATAAAGGGCCAAAAAGCTTTTCAATCAGTTGTTGGAGAGAGCCGATGGGATGCATGATTTAAACTTATTTAAGTTTATTAAGCGTATTCTATCCGCTTACCGGTAAATAGATCAGAACAAGGATATTCTCTTTTTTAAATCTACCTCTTTCCAAGGGTGACTCCTGCAAGCTTGATGAGGTCCCTCATGCAGGGAGTAACAATGATGGGCTGCTCGTCCGAGTCGCCAGCCTCGTCGTAGCTCTCCACCTGCTCCACCACAAACTGGGCATGGCGCAGCAGTGTGTCTTCAGTAAAACAGTTGAAGTTTAGTCCTGCAGGAGGCACAGTGGTCTGAGAGAGAAACACACAGAGTGGATCAGTTACCCTATAATTATGGGGTAATTTTACTAGAGCAATTCATGATACAAATAAGAAAACATGGATCTGAAATGCAAATTCTTCATGGTTTGAACAGCTTCATAGCACCCTCATGTGGACACTTGTATTGTCTTATTTACTTAAAACAGTGTCAAAGATATTAAAAGAGGTCCATGGCCACTCACTCATTGCTGGGGCATTAAAGAGCATGTTTACATACATTTTACAAACAATAGAAAAAGTATTAAATGGTAGATTTCCTCAAAAAATAAAGAAGTTATCGTCAAATTAACTTGTAATTTTGTTCCATCCAAACAGGTCTGTACCTCGATCTTATTGAGAAGGTCTTCATAAGAAGCATCACGATTCTTCTGGAGGAACTCCACCACGATCTTGCTCATATAGATCTTCTCCTGCATCACTGCAAAGATGGGTGCGTACTCTTCGCTCGAATGCATCAGGATGTAATCAGCAAAAGCTGGATAAGGAAAAAAGATACCAATCATTACTATTATAATATCATACAGTTTAAAGAAAGTGATACAATATTTCAGAACAGCAGCTACCTGTAGTGAAACCTATTAAGGCTTTTTCTCCACCATCAAAACCAGTGATCCACCAGGCATTGATAGGCCCCAGTTTCTTGGCAGGAACACCACCTTAAGGAAAACAAACATAGGATAACATCCGCTTTTTGGCAAAGAAGGATGAAAGTACATTAAGTCGTCTTTTTTAATTTTTATTGTGGGTGCTTTGTACCATCCAAGCAGGGGTTGTCATCATAGATTGGTTTAACAACACAGCTGAAGTAGAGCTCCACATTTTTCTCAATCAGTCCAGAGTCAAATGGACAAAGGTGGCCACGCTTGTCGTACACACTGCAGAGAACAAAAAAAAAAGGTAATTTTAAAATTTCATGTGATGCAAATCAAAACTTCTGACCTGACAGACAAACAATCAGAGAATCACTCACCTGAAGTTTGTGATCTTGTGCTGTGGCAGATCCTCATAGCTCTCAAATCCGTCCTCATTAGAGTCAAAAAGGGAGAGGCGTTCATCTGTCAACATTTCTGGTTCATCCAGCTGAAAATTAAATAGCAAAACAGTTACAGGTTTCACAATCTTCTAGGCAATACAAGTGATGACATTAACCTAACAAATATACAATGTTATGAACCCAGAGTTTTGGAACAAAACATTCCTGGAAACAGTTTGTAACATGATGCCGCTTTCCTTCATTTTGTCATTGGGGAGGATTTGTATGCAAAATGTAGCTCACCGCATTATCAGGATCGCCCTGAAAAAACTTGAGATCCGAGTCATCCAAATACTGTCTGCAGTCGGTACACTTGGGAGGTGGGGTCTAAAAAAAAAACCCCCCCAAAAAAAGATATATTACACAGGTCACTTCAGTAGAAAGCATCAACACAAAAATATCAAAACATTTACAGCTATGACTGATTCATTCATCAACTCAATTGTCCCCTTAAATAGAAATGTATCTTTTGTATTCCAGATATAACGTACACTCTCAAACACACCAATAAAAGATTGCAAAATAAACACAAATAGAACTGAGCTATCATGACAACTTCATAAGAATAAGCTCAATAAGCTCATCTATTACCTTTGCAGCAGAAACCGGCTTTATAATCTCAGTCTTGGATTCTGTTGGAGCAGCACTGCAGAAACAAAGTCAGAGTACATTTACAAGTGAGATCTTTTCAGAACCCCATCATTTAATGTTCATAAAGCAAAAGCCCTTACTTTTCATCAGGCTCCACTTTGAGACGTTTCTCCTCCCGAGCCTACGAAAACATAAACCGTGTTACATAGCATACATTTAGAATAAGAACAACAGTTTCTTTAAAAAACAAACACTGGATCATAAAGATGCTTTACCTCCTCAACGTCCTCATCCTCTTTATTCACTTCAGTTTGTCCATTAGTAGCTTCTCCATTCAAGTCTTCAGACTTGCGCTTTTGACTGTAGAGAATGAGGACAGTTCTAAATCAAATTTCACTTTTTAATTATTCACTAGCTAAAAATGCTACATATGCTCATATACTCACACTTTAGAGAACATTGACATGATGGTGGGCTGTTTGCCAGCATTTCTTGTAACCCTGGTACTGGCTGGAGAGAAAATAAGATCACTTCATTTGAATATCATTTTCATCTTGAAATGGAGTCATCACTTGATGAATACTTTTAAGAAGTCTCATACTTACTTTTGGTGTCGGAATTTGTCTTACTCCGGCGTCCTCCCTTTCCTTTGGAAGCAGTTGGTGATTTTAAAGCTCTCCTCCTTCCTCCATTGTCACATCTCCACTGTCCTCTTCGTTGTGGGAACCATTTGTGAAGCCATTAGCTTTTCCATTCTGTTCAGCTCCATCAACATTTGAGCCATTCTCCAGTGGAAGCTCTTTTCCCAGCAAGGCTTTTACTTTAGAGATGTAGACATCCTGAAGAGAGCGCATTGCAAAACGAACAACATGTGAAATAATGAGCAGAACAATACCAGGATATTGATTGATGATTGTTATATCTCGTGAAGTCACAAACCATTGAGATCTCGGAACTTTTCATTTTTTCCTCAAGGCTGCTCAACTGCTCCTGAGCATCAACATGGAGGAATTCCTGAACCAACTTAAGCTTCTCTTTCACTTGATCCTGGAATAGTATAAAAGACAAATCAAACAAATAAGAAAAGTTGAGTTTTGGCTTATTTGCCCTAAAAACACATGGCATTACAGAAGCAACTTGCAGGGAGAAAAGATAAAAAGGTCAAACACAAATAAATCCCAGACAATGCTAATCTTAATTTTTGGAATATTAAGATTCGAAATCTGAGACAGAGGATATCTACAGCTAATATGATATCTACAGTTTCATATTTATTGGCCTGTGGCTAAGGATGTAACACTAAAACTCCTTGTAGATAACAGCATCAAGACTCTTCAAAGCCCCATTATGATATACTCTTAATTGCACATCGTCCAGGGTATCCATGCAGAAAACTCATTCCCAGTTTGTGGATGGCATTATCTGTAGAGTTCACCACTTTCTTTTCTGGCATATGGAAAAACTTAATTGCATTACCTTACTATGAAGTGAACTACAATAGAAATGTTTCTGATAGGGGACATCTAAGTCAGGTTGGAGTTTCACAGTCAGCTAATGTGATTTTAGATATTAGCAAAAGTTAGAGAGCAGCTGGAGCATTAATGAGTGGTTAGATACAGGCTAAAGAATGCAGAACAGTAAAACCCACCTCATCTGTAGATCCATCTTTATCCAACACCTGCAGCCTGTGTACAACACACAATTCAAAACAACGTAACGTTAACTTCATATGCTTGCGACCAAACACAAAACGTCAAGGGGCACATTTCCTAACAAAGGTGTAGCAATAGAATCATCATGAAGACAAGCTGACAAGGATATAAGCAGCAAAACTTCCTCAGTGGCGCCAAATCTGACACGCTGCACCATCCATTGACAGGCTAGAAGCTAACCGGCTAACTGTGTGCAGATGCAGCTTTCACTGTCAATAAGCTAACGCTAGCCGCAGCTACCACTACAAACAAAAGGTAAAGTAGTAGACCCGCTCAAGATAAACTGGGCAAGTCCAGAGCAAGTGCTTTTACGGGCTGCAATTGTGTTGTCCTGGCTTTTAAACTATGACAACAGGCTACATCATATGGACATTCTTAGCAATCATTTTACTAACGATACCTTACCTTTTTCTGACATCCTCTGGTAAAATCAGGGAAGTCCTGGATGGCATGGTTAACAGCTAGCAACACGTAAAACACGAGAGATAAAACAGCTTTAAATCCGTTAAAACAATGTTAAAACCGACGTTTGTCAGCGGAGAGCAGCAGAGTGACTGTCCGTCTTGGAAGCTGGTTCATGCAATGGATGCTATATGCAATTCGGGCGCGCGGGCCGTCTTTTCGCGCGGAAACCCGGGTGTTGTGGACTGTACCACTGCCTTGATCCATGGGTAATACACTTTCTTTTTTGCACGCAATACTGACTCTAAAGTCAGTATTTGTGTTCTCACCGCATAGTTGTTTGATAAATAGTTGTGAAAAAATACTGTGACTGTAATGACGTTGTATAAAGAAAATAAAAATATTTTCAATAACTCAACAACCAACTCGACATCCCCTGCCATTTTCCAGATGTTGTAGACAGCTGACCAAGCGGAAGCAATCTGAACGTTATTTACTAATGAGCAATGAACAATATTAGTAACACATTTGGGTATATGAGATGAGATGGTAAGGTACTTTTGAATAGAAAGATCAAAGAAACGAGCCCGTTTTTGTAATTGTTAATCCAATATTTCAGTAAGCACATGATGACAGCTGTAGATGTCTTAATTGGGGCATTCTACAGAATTAGTTCAAAGTGCAGTCCCATTACAAAAAAATAGGTTTAACAAAACAATTAGGTATTCAGACATGGGTATTTACTGAGATTATATTATGATCTATTTAAACCCGGGCATTAAATTAGATAGTGATAAGCTAAATAAATACAAAATCATCATTTATAGGGTACTTTCTTGTGAGAATTAGCTGTCTCCAATCCTGACCCCTAAATTTCAATTTATGTAAATACCACTACACAACCACAACATTTTTTTAGATTTGTTTCAACTGTGCAATTTAAAAGATCTTTATGATTAAGTTTAAACAAAGGTTGAAAGACTTAGATTTATTGTGGGTTTAATTTTTAAATTAAAAAACTATGCTCAAAAAATCGTGTCCCTTGTTTTCATGTCACTATCGAAACACAAGAGTTTTAGTGGCTTGGTTGAGCCTACAGTTAAGCCACACACCTGAATTTTTGACCAGGAAGTGACATTGCATCCCTGTCCCCCATGGCTGGATGATAAGCAGCTAAATCCCATAATTTTTAAATAAATGTGTTCCAAAGTCTGAAAATCAGTGTGTAACTTTAAAAATTGTCACTACTGATCACACATTCTCTTCAATTATGTAAACCTTTGGGGATTTTATGCAAATGATTATGTTTCTATGGGTGTACACCTCTTCAAAGGCGTGTTTGCTAGCCATGTGCTTGCTAGCATTCATTAATTATGCTCAAAAATAAGTCACTACCATAGACTGTAAATATTACTACCGAATCATATGGTCAAGTTCGGTAGTGACATTATCATTTCGGTAGTGACAAAATGGAATGGTAAATAGTTAAATCTCATCATTTTGAAATAAATGTCTTCCAAAGTCTTGAAGAATCAGTGAGTTTCTTTAAGTATCATCATTTCAATCATTTATTTACAGCAAATAAGCAATTAAGCAATTAATATTTGTACTATGTACTACTATATGGTCATGGATGAACATTTTTCTTCAAAAATACATTATTTTATTGACCACTAAACATACGTGCTTGTAATATTCCCAACATCAGGCATGTTATGAGTTAAAATTAAACAATAAGGTTGAAGGAATATGATAACACACTACATAGAAAATACTGGTCACTACAGAAACACTCGTTTAAAAAAAAATATATAGATATATTGAGTTATCAACTAAAATGTTATAATACTGATTGGTTAACTGTATGTTCCATGTCATAAATCATTAACTCTGAAATCAATCTGATCAGTGTTTTACAGTTTAGAAAGAAAGATTGCACATAGATTTTGAAGAATTTAAAAAATTGAAAATTGAAATTTGTTTAAAAAATCATTTTAATTGATTTTGTTGTGAAACCCTTCAATACATTTAAAAAAAAATAATCTTTACATAAGGGAAGTAAACATAAAATTAACAGATTAACATAATATTGTTTTTATCATAGTTTAATACTATGTTTCGGTAGTGACAAATTTGGGGAGTGAAAATACATTCCAAAACAGTCTAAAAATACAATATCAAATTTGATGATTCGTTTACTAGATATGTGTACTTCAGATATGGAACAATATATATAGGGAAATGTTTTTGGGAATAAAACTCAAAATATTTCCAACCTGACTTTGAACCAATTCGGTAGAAAGGCCCAATTACAAAATAAGTCACTGTAATATGGCTTTATTCTGGTCATTGCTTTAGTTATCCCCCTTTTCAAAGTAGATATAGACATTTGGTAGTTTTATGTCCAGACTTGTAGTTAACTCAATATGAAAATGTAAGAACAGCCTTCAGATGTGGCTGACTATATCCCTATGTTACCACAAGGTGGCACCATCTTATTGAAAATAAGTGCTTGGGCTTTTTCAGGTTATCAAATTGTGACTGCAAATTTCTCACTAACATTTATACATGAAAAACAGACCTACTATCAGGCCTCTATTTATATTTAATCATAGAACATGTTTATTGAACAGTGATACATTTGTCATAACACAGCACACAGCTGTTGCGTTTTTGTATTTTTTTTTCATATGTAGCATTCTTCATTTGCATAATCTAATGGATAAGAAGTGTTACTTTAAACAAAACATTCTTTAGCAGTAAAAATTGCTTAGTATTACAAACAGTCCTACTTCTCTGGGACAAACCTGCTTCAGTCTTGTGTGCAGACTTAAATGTTACTTGTGTACACAACTTCACCTACAGGTTTCTGAGTCTGATGTCATATCCTGCAGGGCACTGGAAAGACCTGGCAGACTTCCCAGCAGCCTCCTGGGGCTGATTCAGCCAATGTTCCCACCCAGGAATCCTGGACGTCTGACAGGAAACAGGCCCAACTCTCTCAAGGCCACTATAAGTCAGCCCCTCCCCTCATCCCAACTCTCCCTCTTGGCTGCAAATCATCTCCTGGGACCTTTCTTTATGCTTTTCTCAGACAAACTATCTTACAAAAAGACATATTTCTTACCACACCCCATTTTCACCCTCCCTATCCTCTGCCCAGCTTCCCATCATAGTGCTGTCTGCCTTCAGCCTTCAAGCATTTAACAATGTGTATTAGGTAAGAGAGTATTCATTAATGGCCAAGCAGTATTTGCAAGTACAATTTCAGACTTTCATGTTGAAGCTAGCATTTTTTGACCGTGTCAGAGCATGTTTGGATTACAATATGGTTCTATTGAATCCTTGTCAGAAGTAGGCACAAAAGGAGGACATACCCGGACCTACATGTTTGGTTAAGATGTTATTTACAGCTTAGAATGAAACTAGAACACGCAAAATGGATTCATCAGGTATTTCATTTATTTTATAAAAAGGAATGCAATTAACAAAATGTCTATGTACCTACATTAGTGTTTCAAAATGTACCGATTTTACACAGGCAGCGTGCTACTTGACACATAAGGCTATTGCACACAAGACATTTCACACAAATCATACATACTGTACAAAATTACATACATACATACTTACAAACATACATAGTAATTCATGTATTTATTATAGAAAACATCACAGAGTCAGGAAACACAATGAAGTGATAGGTACACAGATTGAAAACGTCTCTCCATCTGAAAATAATTTGGGGAAACATCACTGAAGCTGCCAAAGTGCTTTTCACCATTTCTACTTGGCCATCTAAACATCAAAAACAATAACAATAAAACACTAAAGAAGAGAGGAGTTTTTGAATGTCTGTCTACAGGAAGAAGGTAAATCCAATCCCGAACAACAGGAACCGGACAACGAAAAACAGGACTTCCTATGGCTGAAGGAAGTGGCATGTTGTAGGATGTCATAGATCGGGGGTGAAGTTAACCTCCCAGGAGAACAGAAAATTAATCTTCTCCTATTTTGGGAAGGTTGGGGGGGTCTTTGGAAAGATGAGACGTGTCTACGTCTTTGGTCGCACACGGCATATGGCTTGCAAATCAGACCGGGATGTTCACAAATAATTCTTGTTCATGTTGCTATTAAGACTTCACAGTGAAAGTGTCCTGACCTGTTCTTCTCTGCTTGTCAATGACTTGGTAATTCAAAATGATGACCAATAATACTGTCAACAATGGAGCTCCTGCCCCAAACACTTCATACATACATTCAGCCTTAATCCCAAAGAGGAAGGCACACACAGAGACAGCACATTGCTGCTACGTTGCTACAACACTGTCAGGACATTAGTCCCATAAGTCAAAGCTGCTGGACAGCTGTCATTGAATAAGATTCATCAGTGCCAACTTATTTCAGGAAATGTGCTTTCTGATTAGGCCTTCCTCAACGGAAACTATTAAGATACAAAAGACAACAGTAAAAGCAACAGGGACAGATTGTGATAACAAATGAGGGAAGGGGTGTTAGTGATGAAAGCTGGAGCTGAAATATATCATACACATCAGCGCTTACAAATAAGTTAGAATTCATGCATTACATGTATGCAGATTATGTACGTTTTTCATAGTTAATCAATAGTTTAAGCAAGGTTATATAGGGGATATATAGCCCTGGTTATGTTAAGGGAGCACTCGTGCTAATTTGGCCTCTTTGGAGTGCAGTATTATTTAAGTTGATTACTTTCTCCAGCTCTGTGTAGAACAAGTGATTCATCTGTAGGCCTAATTTACACATATTTCAATAAAGGAGAAACAGAAAACAATCTCTCAAGTAATCTACAAAGTGCAGTTTTGCAAGCTTTGCATTGATGCAGTTCTCAAAAGGCCCAAAACAACTCACTATTACTTTGACATTATGCATTTTATGTTTCATGTTTTTTTGGCTTTGAATACAGTTTTACATGTTCAGAAAGGGGAAAAAAAGATAAGAGGAATATACATGGAAATGGTTTGCAGCTCCATATTTATCAATGAGCGTACCCAAAAATCTATTTTCACATTTCTTAAAGTTCTCACCTGTGGTTTTGGTTTCTACTTAAAATGTTTGTGTTTTCACCGCCGCTGCATTGGTGTATTGATTGAAGGCTGGTTGTGAAATCACACAAGTTTGATTGCAATAACAAATGTCTGGATTGTAAAATGCATCTTGA